AAAAAAAAAAAAAAAAAAAAAAAAAAAAAAGACAAGACGGCACAGGACGTCAGACAGCAACGGGGGACTGGAGAGACCCAGACATCCTGACACCAAGACTCCGTCCTGACCCTTCTTTCTGAGGAAGGCCTCCCGTTCTCCCTGTCTTGGGCCCCAGACCTGCTCTGCCACATCCGGAGGTCTGGGGGCCCTGGCGTCCCCAGTCCCATTGCAAGGGTAGCATAGTTCTCTGAATATAATATATCTAGACCCACCCTTCCCCTCCCCCAGGGGACTAGATGAATATTTGACACGCACAGCTCCCTCCTTTCCCAGGTGGTGATGGAGGGAGACCCTGGCACCATGGTGGGGAGGCTGGGCTCCCGGTCAGACTTGGGGCACCGATACCCAAGCTGGCCCAGCGCCACTGGCCAGCCCCAAGAAGCTCATGAGATGAGGAGGTCCGAGGGGAGCTGGAGCCAACATACTGTCCTGTCCCCACCACCCTTGGGTGGGCCTCTAGCTTGCGCCTGCTAGGACCAGACTCCACCCGCCCTGCCCCTGCCCCACTGCTCTGCTCACCCACCCTGCACTTCAGGAGTAGAAGTGGGAGGAACCGTTGAGGATGTGGGAAGCAACACTGGTGCTGCGGCTCAGAGGCCCGGGTACTGATGCCGCGGGTGGGCCCACATTCTCACTGCCGCTGCCCCCTGAGGCTGCCCGCCGGAGGGGCTGGGGGCTATTCCTTAGCAGCAGCAGGGCTCCACCACGGGGTGTTCCACTCTGTGTTGGGGGTCCCAGCCAGTTTGGGGGTCCAGGGGGAGCCAGTAGAGATGGTTGACGCCAGGCTGGGGGGGGCATGCCTGGTGGTGGAAGGCCGTGGCTCCAGTGTGCCCCCGAGCGGGGAACGGGGCGGGAGGGCCAGGCAGGGGCAGGGGGTGGGGCAGGATAGCCCTGGGCAGCAGCCTCGGCCGGGATGCCCCCCAGAGCCATGCTGGAGAAGCCCAGCCTCATGCTCTCCGCATCAAAGGCCTCGATCTCACGGGCCTGCCGCTCAAGCAAACTCCGGATTCGCTCGGAGCGCCCCGTCTGCAGTGCCAGCAGCTCCTCTTCCACCTGGGGCGCCCAGAACAAGGGTTAGAGCCCTGGGGTGGGAGCCTGCCCTCCTGCCCAGTCCTGGAGGACATACCCCTTACCCGCTGCTCCAACAGTGCCCGCCGCAGAGCTACTCTCTGCTCCAGCTCCCGCAGCTCTCTCTCATGCTGGCTTTCTGTGCGGATTTTGATCTTGCTCTGGTAAGCATTGAGTAGCTCCAGCTCCTGCTGAAGCTGCTGCCGAAGGGCCTGGAACTCTGCCTCCTGGGTCTCATCAAGCCGGAGCTGGAGGGTAGGGAAAAGCAGTTTTAGGGACCTCTTCCCCTACCCCCACAATCCTCCCCTGCCCCAGGTAGGCCTGGGCCGAAAGGTTGCAAGAAGCAGCGGTCTCAACATCTATCAGAAGGGAAGATGGTCATACCCTGTGGCACAGCAATTACACTTGCAGGAATCTATCCCCCAGGTATACTTGCACAAGTGCTCGGTGTTCACGGAAGCGTTGGGATAGCAAAATACTGGAAACAACCTAAATGTCCATCAATAAGGGATGGGTTAAATAAATTATGGTACAGCCATACCATGGAAAATTCTACACTGTTAAAAAAAAAAAGACAGAGATATGTGTACTGACATGGAAAAATGTCCAAGAAATATTAAGTGGAAAAAGGAAGTTGGAGAACAATGTGTAAAGTAGGATTTCACATGTGTTTAAGATTTTTATATAATTTTCCAAAAATGCATTGGGAAAAAATCTACAGTACAGTTAGTTACCTCTGAGAGGTGGCCAGGGTGAGAAAACAGGGCTGACTTTCTACCCTGTGTGTGCCTTCAAGGAGGCCCACTGTGTTGTGTGCAGTGGGGGTGACAACAGCAGGGTTCAAAATCTCATGGGGGCTGAAGAAATGACCCAAGGGCCACACTCATTGTAATCTGCTCCCTGTTCACAAATTAAACTTAGGCTCAGGAAAACACTATAGCCACTCTTTCCCCTTGATGATTCTTGGTAGTCAGGATGGCTTTGTCAAGACCTTAAGAAAATACTAAGAGAAATAATAAAACCATTAAGAATATGAAGTAATAAAACCATTGCAGAGAATACTAACAGTGAAAGTGTAGCCAATTTTTCAAGTACAAAAAGCCCCACCTCCGCCCATACCTCCCACTTTCTGCTGCCAGTGACTAGGCCAGATATACAGAGGCCCATCTCCCCTGTCCTCCCTCCCAAGCCCCCAGGCCTCACCGCCTGCGAGCTGAGCATCTCTGAGATGGACTGGTCATACTGCTCAGCCAAAATCGCCAGCTTGCGGGTCTGTTCTTCCTTGAGCCGCTTAAGGAGGCTCTTGTGCTGAGCTTTTGGCGTGGTCTCCAGCAAGTGTGCCCGCAGAGCTTTGTACTGCCGAGTCTGGATCTTACACGTCTCCTGGAACTGCTTCTTGATCTGCAGCTCTTTAGACTGCGCAGTGGACGGATCAAGGGGAAATGGGGGCAAAGGAGAGGGAAAGGAGGAGGAGGAAGAGGAGGAACAACCAGGGGAAATGGGGAGAAGAGAAGGAGAGGAGAGGAGACAGAAGCAGAGACAGGGAGAGGGAGAGAAACAGAAAACATGTTAGACAGAGGGGGCGGGGGGAGCTGTATACAGACAGGGATGGAGAGATGGGATGGTGTCGAGAGAGATCAGGAAAGTGCTGGTGGGCAAGAGACACGGAGAACGAGGTTCCGAGAGCACGCCCAGAGCCAGGTGAAATACAAGGAACGTCAGAGTTCGCAGACAAGGAACTGAGACTCTTTAGAGGACTGAATGCACAAAAGAAGCTTTGACCGTGCAAAGAGAAAGCAGAAGTGACCTTGGGATACAAGCACATGAGCAAATACAAAAACGTGCAAAGGAATGAATGAGAGCACCGAGCCACACAGGACATCCACAGAAGAAGGCCACACAACTAAGGGCAGACAGAGGAAGTCCCAGGTCCGGCACCTCAGGGAAGAAGGCAGGGAAGGAGCACACTGAGCTGGATAGGAAGGGGCTGCCCTATCAGGGGCCACAGCAGGGAAAGGTGGCCAGAAAGGGCCGACAACTCAAGAGGCCAGCAGCTGCCACCCTGACTACGTTCACATTCCTGCCCGGCCCTTGCGCGCTCAGCTCCCACTCCAAGCCCACAGCCAATCCTGAACCCAGCTCACCACCCTCGACGGCGGAGGGTTTGCACCCGTCCCCCAACCCTCTAGGCTAACGCCCGAACAGAAGGGGACCACGGAAGCAATGTGCTGGTAGAGAATGTAGTGGACGAGAAGGCTAAAGGACCTGGGCCCTAAGGGCTTTCCCGAAGCGACCCACAGAAAGGGGTCCGGTGGGACCAGGGCGTTTCTGCGGAGGCTCCACGCTGGCCCTGAGCCCAGGGCTGGCGGGGGTCATGGTGTGATGAAGCTATGAGGCAGAGAAGATGAGGCTGAGGGTGGAAGGAACTGAGACGGAGATGGGGTGGAGAGGTCATGGAGCTGGGGGCCAAGGGTCCAGACGGGGGCAAACCAGGGAGGCTAGGCGGCAGGACAAAGCAGACAGAGGCAGCCTGGGCCAAAGGTACAGTTCCGCTCAGATATTTTATTTGTGTTTGTCTTTTTCTTTTCTTTTCT